ATTACGACGAACAAACGATTCAACGATTAATCTCGTAGACGGTAATAACACTAATCTCCGCGGATCCTTCGCTAACCAAAATGACGCCACCGTCGTTGCTTGCATATACCCGGGGAACAGTTTAAAACTTTCAAAAGAAGAACGAGTAAATAGAACTGGTACGTGTTAGAATTCCGTGGGAACGATACGATCTGCACGGTTAAAAGAGAGACGCATTGAAATTTCCCGTTCGTACCTGGAATATCATCGTCGGGGATGGAAATTTTATCTCGTACTGGCGTTTCTGGACGGTTTTATTTATTTAATGACCCGGCCGTGTAGGATCTAATTAAATAGCTCGCTTTTACCAGGCGAAACGACCGTTTGGCTTTCGGGGCAAATATTAATCAACCGGGCGGGGGATATTCCCCGGGTTTCCGCTAACGACTAATGGACAATTGAAAAGCGACGCTGGAATATATAATATTGCAAAATACACGGTCGTTATCTATGATACTACCCCCCCCCCCCATCCTCCCCGGGTTTCGCTATATGTATATTTACGAGTTCACCAGGACCACTCCCCCATACGGGTGGCGGAGAAGAGAGAGGTGCACACGGTCCAGAAAGTTTGATTTTTGGCAACCGGGGGGAACCGCCTTCGCCCACGTACAGCGTTTATTTCCTTCCCCTTTCAGTGCCTCCTGGCACTTTTCCCTGCCAACGTCCAACTTCGTTCGACCACATATGTGCAGGATGTTCCCTATTCCACGAATAGGTAGACACATTGCATCTGTCTCGTAACACCCGAGGGATGTACGGTCGGATATCGGAGTTGGGGGAGGGGGGGGGGTCGAGGAATTTATAGATTGCGCTACGTAGCGATACAAGAAAAAAGACAAGGAATCGTTGCTGTTGAACTTAATGAAACTTCCAGGACCTTGACTGCTTGTATTCCGGAGACTCTGGCCACCACGTGTATATTTTCGACGATTTATAATTTAGAAATGAAATAAAGCACGTCTGGCTACATACGGTCTTCTTCACTGTGGCAGCCAACGTGTTAATGAGTCAGGTGGGGTTGGTCATCGAATATCTTAACATAACTCTTCCCAGAAGATAGATTGTCTACTTGATTTAGGCCTAAAATACACTAATCTCGTTTAAAATGTAAAAACTATTCTTACAGACGACCTATGAATCATTTATTCGCGTAATTAGAAGCATCAATTGCTTTCCACACTTTCTCGCCACTGACACCTGAATGCAGAGATAGGCTATGTTCGAAATTCTCGACGAACACGATTTAATCGTCGTGTGTGAGGGGGGGGGGCTCTTAATCGCTTATTCCCCGAAATCGTCAGTTTTTCCTGGCACCTTTCCCTGTCGAATCGAACCGTTCAATTGGAACCGATGACCCTTTCTCTATCCCCCTATGTCGAGAACTATCCGACCAGACACGAGACAACGTGACAAAGCCCTAGAATCCCGACTCGACTTTGTCCCGAACGTCGAATATTCCGTCGGGATTGAATGGCCGTCGATGGTTATCGGGTCCAGACCGTGGACTAGTAGATTTTCGCGACGAACCGCGAACCAGCTGGCGACCAGAGGCAAAATGAACGGATGATGACCCCCCCGATACTTTTCGATATCGAGCTTCGTGTATGGACGGGAGGAGGGCATCGATCCTCTCGAGGTTCGCATACCAATCAGGACAGAAAGGCGAGCCTTAGCACTAGGAAAACTATAATTAAGCAACAGGTTGCGGGTAGCTTCTTCGCGAGGAATTTATGAGGACCCCTCGATGCGAGACTCCAGCAGCACACACCAGGGTTCTTTTTTTATTGAATCCAGCGTTACTCGTTCGTCGTGGTGGGGAGGATGTACGGTGGCGCGACGCCGTTTTACGTCGACGTTGATCGACCGATGGCAGACCGCGATTAATCGCAAGAATCTGGCGGGTTGTGATCAATTACGCGAAAAGAGTTCCACCGTTTGCCAACCGGCTGTAGGTGACTTTAACGTCGTTCCTACGGGACGATTTTCGTGACCTTATTTCGCCCGAAGATTAAAAGACAGACAGAGAGAGAGAGAGAGAGAGAGAGAGAGAGAGAGAGAGAGAGAGAGAGAGAGAGAGAATCGGTAAATGTTAATGGAACAAAATTGAAATGGGAGCGCCGGGTCTTCTTAATTTCTTCTTCATCTCTGACACTTGCCAGGGAATTTTCAATGTAGATCTGGGCCGAGAGGGAAATTAACCAGTCCCTTATGTCTATGTAAGTTCACCAGAAATAATAGAACACAGGATATTCCAGAAAACGTCAATGGACCTGTTGTTACGTTAAGGATCGTTCGGACTAAGGACGTGGATATCATCGTCTGCGTGTACTATAGACCGTAATAATGCATCTCGTGGATGCTTCATAACCTCTTGAACGTGTGCCGTAGAGAGCGCAGGATGCTTAACCGGAATACATACTCAGTGATCATTTGTGGGACCAATTCCAGGGAACTAGCGAACACGTGGTACTTCCATCTTGGAAATATGGTTGGGAGCCATAAACAGGGAGTAACGCAGTTAACAGTCAGGGAACGTGGCTCTCGGTGGTCAATCAAATTTGCATCCCAATGTCTTTGGTAATTCGTCCCCAAGACACCGTACCGCGATGTACATACATATACTTCCAATTACAGGAATCGTTGACGTGCGATCATCGGATATCATTGGAGTGTAAACCAGAATCCGTGTTATACACGGCCAATTTGCGTATCACGTTGATGCATTGTGACCCTACCACCCCCCCTTCTCCCATCACAGATGCAACCGAATTGGAACGAGACAGGTGGGAGGGCTCGCGTTCGAGGTTGTTACCGCGAAATCGTTCCTCCTTCTTCGAGTCGCGGGCGGCCCTAAGCAACGGCAGGGCATAACGATCAGGAACCGTGGGGAGGGGGAATCCATGGAACCGTGGAAATCGTCGATCCTCTGTGGAATCGGAGGCTTCGCCTATTCTTGGCCAACGATTCGCCGGCCCCAATTTCGCATCGATGGAAACGACTGGTGGGAGACTCGAAGGAAAGAAGGGCTTGGCGGCGAAGAAAAAGCGGGAGGAGGGGGGGAGGCGAGGCTGATCCACCGAGAAGAGGTCCTCTCAATCTGCAGTCGATTTTCTCGTGCACCGACCCAATTTCGAGGCTGGTGCGGGCAATTTAACCCGCGCGTCCGCTTCTCTTCCGTCCATATCGTCCCTCACCGGAACCGCCGTGCTTCTTTTCCGTTTTTTGCTTTTTTGCGACGCGGAATACCGGTCGAAAGTGATTTTAAAAGCTCCGCAAGAACGGCGGCCGGCCCGCTGAGATGCTGTACACCGACTAACCACCTTGTAGCCTAAATGCCACGGGGATTTGTAAACAGGGATTGATACAGAAGAATTTCTTCTGTATCAATTCAATTATGAATGAGAATGGAGACTCTTCTTTATGTCGATGTATATACTTCCATATCAAAATGTACTTCATCACGAGACAGCCGAGCTGAAAATGATGTGTCGCCATATCAAACAGGCTGTGACAGCTATCTTGTTTTTTCGTTGTAGCATTGGGTAGATAACGTTGGAGGGGAAGTGGGGTTTGGGATATTTACAAAACAGCTTTTCAGGAGATGTTCACGGGGTAGATTCATTTAGGATTCTCCAACAGGCTCCGAACGCAGTCTCTATTCCCGTGGTTACGGTTATTGTTGTTTCGCGGCCATGCATCTGTTCTTTGTTCCTGGAATGGTCGTGTGTGCCCCTCCCCGAATGCTTGCTTGCATTCATAATTCGTCGGTAATTCAGAAAATCGCTCGATCTAAAATGTATCCCCCACCCCCTTACCGACCATATTCAATTGGCTGTGCCAGTGCGCGTAACTTCCTCGCGATTTCAGTGACACTCGTATATGGCGGGTACTGTATACATATATTCGCGAGGCAAGGCGAGAGGCAGTTTCTACCAGGCTCCCAGTGAATTACCATATTCCACTCGAGACGGTTGTACGTGTTCACCCCGGGACACCACCGGGGTTTTGGCCCAGATTCTCTGCTCCGTCGACTTAATAAACAGAGCCTTTAGCGGCACGCGTAGCCCCCGCACGCCCCCCTTTTCCCCCGATTAAATCCGGTTATCTTTTATGAGATTTCTGGCCCGTCAAGGGCTGCCCGCCCCGTCTCGTGAACCCTCCTCTCCTCTTTATCATTGGCAGGTTAAAGCGGGACGAGGGAACAGGCGAGAGAGGAAGAGAGAGAGAGAGAGAGAGGGGGGGGAGGAGGGAGAGAACAAAATTATAAACGAACGAGATAAACTCAAGGCCGGCTATTTGTTCCGGAAGTAAGGAAACATATTCCTGTTCAGGAGATAAATATAACCGGCTGAATAGTATTAGCATAATCCACTCCGTCTACAGATCCAGGACCCCGGGGCATCGTCAAAAGCTGCATCTTCTGTCTTAATAAGCTCTCCCGTATCCGTGTCGTGTATTAAAATCGTTCTACACCCCGGGTATTACGTTTTCTACCGGAAACTCGTGCCAGTCGAATGACGGCCTCTTATGTTCACCTGGTGTTCAGAGAGGGATATTATTAATTGTTGGAGGAGTCGCTTTGTCGTACAATGTAATGCGATAACCTCTACAGGCACCTCTCGATGAAGTTGTACCAGGATAAAACTTTACGTCTCGACCACTATCAACTCATTGCGGTTGTGTGTCTACTGTCAGCCATCAGATTATCCACGTCTGAGAAAAATATGGCCGGAAAGGATTCTTTTTAACCATACCTAATCAGATTTTTACGGTTAGTAGAACAAGTAGCTCGTGTAGACGTTTTCATCATCCTTAGGAATTAAGTGCCCAATATTTAATCTGTTCTGTTTCACATGGTTGTCTGTCCTACACTGAATATACAAGTTGAAGTGTCATATTTTCATATCACGTCCGATTGCATGTTCTCAACGGAGCACAACTTTTCAGGGTGAGGGGGCATGTTGATGTGCCGGCGGTTGCTGCTGATCGCAGCCGCGATCACGGCCTCTATCGAGGCTGGCTCCGCTAGTTACCATCCGGGAATATCGTCGGACTACTCGGGGTTTCCTGGTCTCGCGGTCTATTCGGGCCTGACATCGTCCGGGTCCCCGTCGAGCTCCGTCACCACGTCCGCAACGAGTTTGGAGAATGTTGCTGTTTGCAGGTAGAAACACAACTCCCCAAAAACAACTTTCCAATCTTAACCAAATACCATCATACATCTTCCAATCGCTTTCAAACTCCTATACCGAAAAGCTTGAATATCGTCTAATTTCTAATTACTGACAATATTATGTCCATCAACGGGTGCTCTATCGAGAACACCGGTTCAAATAACGGTCGAAAGTAGTTTTCGACATTTCCCAAACTTTGGTCCACGTGTGTTTGTTTGTATCCATAGTATAGAGATAATACATATGTATATCGGGTCCCGTGGAGTTCGAAAGGATATTGTACGTTTTATTTGCATTCCATTTGCAGACCATCCGAGTACCTATGCGGCACCGGAAACTGCGTCGCTCAGGACAAATACTGCGACGGCGAGAATGACTGCGGCGACAAGTCCGACGAGCCCAGATATTGCACCCGTGAGTCCATCTCGACTAACACATATTGTTCAGCCCTCCGTCCCCATCACGTCCGAATTTAAATTTGCCTCGAGAAATCAAGTTCGAATTTACGGATGAGTTCGCGTGACATAGAGCACATACGGCGCTTGTAACATCCGGAATATGTGTCCGGTGTGCAAATAACAGGAACGATTCCTGCAAGATCTGGTCAAGTTGAAATAACTTTCACTGTCGGTCACAATAGATCTCATGTTGGTCGACAATACGTGATTGATTGTGCACGATGGCAGAGATAGGTAGAGTTGACGAGGGATTTGTACGTGGCTTTTCAGCGTGCAACAGAACCCTGTACGGCGATGTGGGCCGGACCTACAGAGTGGAGGTCCGTAGGCCAAGGGAGGATCGACTGCCATTCTTGTGCCATCTCAACTTCACTGCTGCCGGGTCGGATCTCGGAGACCTAGTTCAGGTGGGGGAACAAGAAAGGACCGACGACGATCCTGTTGGAAACTAAATAACCCGACTCCCTTCGCCAATGGAAGAAGACTTTCACAAGCCAAACATGACTCTACCAGTCTGGAATGATACATTCCCTTTTTTGTTATCCGTCCGTCTAGGACACATTGATCCCTGTTCTCGCGAAGGTATCTCACATCCCTCGAGATCGTTTCTGTAAGTTTGTTTATTTCGATATCTTCATCCCTTTCAGCTTATTTACTCTCGCTTCCCGCGCGATGATTAATCAGTTTTATCGAGTCGCTGCGGGCATTCTTCGCCGAGAAAACACAACTTTTTTTCACCCCAACAAGCCCCCGACGTTCCTTTCTGCCAACGAAGTTGCTCCATTCTGTTTTTTTTTTTACCCCAGCTCTTCCCGCCTTTAATCATTCCAACCAGGCCAATAATCTTGTTCTCAACTTCTTTCATATAGTGCCTTTTACGTAGTCTTCTTAACTCCCTCGGTATCTCGAATGATTATAATGGTATGCTACTATTTATTACTCCCCCCCCCCCCCCCCTCCCGCCCCAAGAACTCTTCTTCCAACTCTGTTGATCATCGTGTACTCAACAATTATCGTACACACTGTACTAAACTCCTCGATCGGGGCGTTGGTGGAAATCTGTCGATAACAATATTAACGCGTATATTCTTTACACAGTTGACCTTTGATACTTTCACTGTGGGTCGTTTTATATCGTTCACCTCGGAGGGATGTCCGGACGGGTACATGACCATTCGCGAGGAGGGTCGTCCGGCCACCGGCGGGCAATGGTGCGGAAGCGCGTGGGGCTACACCGTCTACTACAGCGAAACGCCTTCCATAAATTTGACATTGTACCTTCTACGACTCTCTGAACAGGTAAGAAAAAGAGTGTCTTTTATTGCATGACCAGCAACCACGGATAAATACGGTAAATCATCGATGAGTGTTCGGAAGCTTCTCGGCACTGATTATCAAATGTTGCATGAACTAATCGCCATATGCAGCTGAAACACATATAATTGGCTTCAGAATTTCAAGCTATCGAACACTCATCGATGATTCACTGTACCCGACACTTCATCGAACACCATTCTTTGCTTGAACAACACAGGGGAACGGGTACAATTTCGACTTCAAAATGTCGTACAAGTTCCTGCGACGCAGCGAGGCGCATCTCCGTTATGGGAACAGCAGTATGTCCACGTGGCGAGGCGAGCTGGTGAACGGCACGTATTGCGATCGTGTGCTGACCAAGTGCGACACACGAGCCTGCCGGCTCCAATCGCCGAATTATCCGGGTGTATATCCGCGAAATGTCACCTGTTATTACCGGGTCGAGCAGAATCGTGCGCCGCCCGGTCATCGGGCGTTGCTGGCTGTTAGTCAGAGGAACAGTCATAAGATACACATTAAGGACCAGCTCGTGAAGTACGACAGAAGCCAAAGGATATTAAGGTACGATAAACGCGTCGTTGTATCCATGGACGGCCTGTGTGGTTTCTCTTCTAGCCATTGGCTGGGCTGCTGCCCTACCCCGTAGAGACTGACTACTTTAGGGATTGTTTTCATCGTTCAGAGTGTGGGATCAGTGCAACGTGGTGCAGGATTATCTGACTGTCTACGACGGGGGTTCCACGTCCGACAAAGTGTTGGTCAGACTCTGCGGCGGTGATGCAGTCCCAGACATCGTCAGCAGCCATAATACAATGCTCTTGGAGTTTCACACGTCGCCGTATGACAATCCGTTCCATCCCGTTCCGTTGTCGTTCCTGCCGGGATTCGAATTGGAGGTTCAGGTAAATCTCCCTCGTATAAGGAATTACCAGGAGTCTTGATGTCCAATCAATCGCCCAGCCACCGTTTCATTAAGCCAGTCGTTACGTATTTCTATAGGTACTGTTCGTGGACGAGAAGTCCCGTAGTTTCGTGAAGGAGAACAACAACTGCGACTTTTATATATCCAGTGAGGACAGCTCGTCGGGTGTACTGGAGAATCCGAAGCACTCGTTGCCGCCGAATACGACCTGCCGGTATCACTTCCAGGGTAAGCCGCACGAGATCGTCTGGTTGTCGTTCGTCAAGTATTACGCGGCGAGCGCCGAGGCCTCTGCTAGCATCGACGTTGCGTCCGATTGCAACGCGACGCTTCTAATATGGGACGGCGACCACACGTTGGACAAGGGAATTCCTGTTCAAAAGGTACCGTTCCACTTGCAACGTTCGCTTCATAGTTAGCTGTTCAGCCTTCGGTAGCCTGGAAAGAAGCAAACAGAACCAGAATAGATTCATTTTCGTGCACAGAACATCACGCTGTTGGGTCAGTTCTGCAAGGACGACACTCCCAGACTTTGTGATCACAGCCTGCTGCGAAACGGCAGCCGTCACACGAGGCCCTGCAGTCTCGCGGAGAGCTACGTGTCGACCAGCCGGGATCTCACATTGGAGCACATTCTTCGTCAAGGGAGTGCGCTTTACCCGATAAGCTTTGTACTGCGATACGAGTTCGTGCACGAGGCGGTCTCCTGTAATCACGTCTATGGTTCCGCGTCAGCTTCATCCACGTCTTCCATATCCTCTTTATCCTCCTCCTCCTCCTCCTCCTCCTCCTCGTCGTCCGCCTCGCTCTCTAGGATCGGTAGGTTCGCGTCGCCGAAAAGTGTGTTCTTCTATGGACGCGGTGGTGCGCAGAACGTTAGCTGTGTATATCGTTTCGAGGCCGAGCCCGATCACAGGATAGAACTGACCGTGACTAGGGCATCGTTCGGGAACAAAGGATGTTCCTCCTATGTTGATCCATTGGTGAACCGATGGACATGCGATCGACGTTTATCCGACACCGCTCGTTTCGGCACCGCGGAGCTCGTTGTCGCCGAGTATCCGTGGCAGGGAGTGGAACTGGTACGTGTCCACACATTTGGTAACATTTCAATTTACTAAGACGTAAACGTAAGCTAACATTAGGTAGAAAATCATTTTGTGTTACTATTCGATCCCCGATGGCTTAGGTACGCGACTGCCTGTGCTCAAATGTGACTGAAAAGATCATCCTGAGGACGCTAACATCGAACACGGTCGAAGTTCGATTCACGGTGAGCCTGATGAACGTTACTCAGGATTACAGGGATTTCTTCTTCGAGGGCGAGTATCGTTTCGTCCCGTTGAGTGCCGAGACGAGTGAGCAAGGCTGCTCGACGAAGCTCGAAGAACGACGATTGCGCGGTACCAGCGGTGAAATCTCTCTCAGAAGTCCCCTGCCGCGTGTCATTCCCGGTGTGGCTGCCGTTGAGGAGATTCTTACCAACACGGAAGATCTGACAGCGACTCAATGCGTGAACGAGCCATGGCTGATCGAGCCAGAGGACGTGCGAATCAATTTTCTCTATCTGAGAACCGCGGGGTACAGCATCACCCTGGACAACGTCGAGGATTGCACCACGTTGAATCGTATCGTTGTTTACTCGGCATCGAATACCAAGGATCGTAGTGTTATTTGTCCAGAGGGGGGTGTCGACACCGCTAGAACAGTTGACTTCTTCTCCGGTGGGTGGAATTATAGCGCGGTGAACGCCAGCGTGGCGATGGCTCAGCATTCCAGGAGTTTCGTCGTGGAATTCCTGCAGAGGGAGCCCGGTTTCTATGCTGTCACGTGGATGGCGATCTCGAAACGATCACCAAGTCCAAGCACTGGCCCGAATGTATTCACGATATTGCCCCAAGAGGAATGTCCATACAGGTTAGACAAACTTCGAAGTGAATTATACTATACAGTTAGTATTAATCATTTTGTAGACGTATAGATGCTAGAGCCAATCGTTGACGCTATCTTCTGCTCTTGTAATCAACGGATTTTACGTTGGACTAACGTTTTACACTGTCCCTTTTCAGATGTCCCGAAATCCAGGCCTGCATAAGCTCAGTTCTCTGGTGCGACGGCATTCGGCACTGTCCTTCAGGGTTTGACGAGGAGGAAGCCAACTGTTCGTACCGTTTCGGCGTGACGTTACTCTATGTGGCGGTGGGCGCCGGTGCCCTAGGAATATTCCTGATCCTTCTACTCGCAACTGGCTGCCTCAAGTATTGCCTCTACCGTCATAAAGCTCGCAAGAAAAAGAAGAACGTCGCTCTGAACGTGAACCATCTCCATGTGAATCACACCCATCACAATAACGGGCTAACCGGGAGTCGACTGAGCGGACGGTATAACCTCGCCACGCCACAGGAGATGTATCTAGAGAATTACGGGAAGGACAGTATTTGTTGACAATACGCCATCGCCGATATCGAGACCACTGTGTGAATAATGCAAGATTTTTTAAAATTACGCCTACCTCGCTCTGGCCTCTGGATCCCCCCAAGAGAAAAGGAAAAAGTGGGATGACAAAAGCTGTCCTTTGGCGCGGAACGCGCGGTTAACAACATACGCAATAATCGTATTAAAATTCTGTAGACCAATTTCTCGAAGGCATTTGACGAACGGGTTCCGAGTCGTTTCCAAGTGTCAACGATAGATCTACGCCTCGGTTCGAAACCACATCGTGTTCCCATTCTCCCGAACCGCGCGAAATACAATGTTAAATGGAGTGTGTCCGTTTGGAAAATTGGACTCTGAGAACTTTTAAATTTTGCTTAAATCGACGTACTCATGGCGGACGAGGTTCGAACGTTCAGGTTTTACAGTGTTTTTTAAACGTCACACTACGGACATTCGCAAGTTTCGGGACGCCTGTCGAGAGAGGTTATATTAAGCGGGGGGTAGATCGAATCGATGTGAAACTGTTCGAAACACACGTGTAAATGGTTTTCGACGATGAAACCGCGGTATCACAGTAGCTTTAGAAACACACGTTTTAGGGTTAAAGCGGTGAAGAGGAAAGGTTCAAACCACAACAAAACATAAAAGCCAAATAAAAGGGAGAAGAGAACAAGGAATCAAGGAACAAACAACTGCAAGTATATGCTTTTTAAGGAAAAAAAAACGAAATAGCAATCGTAATTTTCATCGAGAGAGAGAGAGAGAGAAGGGAAGAATTTTTATCACGGTCGGTTGCCGAAAAACAAACGAGTGCCACAAACGTCCACGACGAGAGAGACGCAGAAAACAGAGTTCGCCAGGAGGATGGTGGGGGAAACAAAACGCCTATGATGTTAGGGCACAAAGGTACACAATTGATTAAAATCGTATTAGAACGTTGGGGAGGATACGCAAAACTACTGTGATTCATACTTGAAACGAGATGAAAGAAACCATCTGATATCACGTATCATGAAAATATGTAAAAAAAAAAAAGAAGACCGAAAAATGATTTTGATCGACGTTTGTCACTTTTAAAAGTCCATTTTACTCTATAATTTTATAATTGCCATGTCTGAACGACGATAGTCAGACACAACTTATCCTAAGGAATTATTGTACGACCAAAGATCAACCACGCCCGTTATCATCGACCCTCCGGATCCATCGTAGCATCTTAATTGATCGGTATAATCTGCGTCGATCCGTCGATAATTCCATCGTTTTTTGTAAGACACGCAGCCACTAGAATCGTTAACGCGGGAGCGTAGCGACGTGTAACGGAGTCGCCATTACGCACCTGTAATGACGATCGAAAAAAGATAAGAACGATTACAAGGAGATGAAGGTTTAATTTTAAATCCTAAGAGTAACTGAAAATTTCATAACAGTGTCAACGGTATTTTGAATAACATTATTTTCAAAGTGTCCCAAGAAAAGAATGTTTCTACGTATGTTGACGGTCTGACAGTTCACTTCGGAACTAAAGAAAACCCTACGGAACTGTGACAACAGCCCGGACGTCAGGTACCCTATGCTCCTGCATTAACTATGAACCTTACCTATCCAGATTTCATAAGTGCATAACGTTATCGAAGATGATATAACATATAGTTAAAAAAATCACACATGTAACCTAGGTTTGATATTGATGCGCGAGGCTTGTGACTGGGACATAGAGATCGATGTATAGTTGGTTATCGTTTAAACGAGCGCGAATACGAGACGCATGAAAGAGCAGACAGAAGAAACGACGAAAAAAAAAACAAATGCATAACATTGTAACCCCTGTTACGGAAAGTGTTAAAACCTATTAAAAAGCCGTCGTTTCACGCGCGCGAACACACGGAGGACACATGTACGAAGAGACGATTCACACGTCATACATTTAACATACTACATTACATAAATACATACCACCCACACGTATGGTAACAAAGCGCGTATAAACTTACGTCTGTATGCTGTGATAGAAGTAAGCGTATCAACAATCGGAAATAAATTTCTCGCGTGAATGTGCGCTTTCAGTCGTATATACCCCCTGCATCCTGTAATTCAAGCTAATTATAGATCGTTTGATTCCCTTTCCAAAGTATATTCGTATGTTCTATCGATCGAATTGAGATACATCACCGCAGTTTGTGTGATCAAACATCCTGAAATATGAATACTGCTAAAAATGCATGGTATATTGTTGTGTGCCCTTTGTGATTATAAACGATGATAGTTCCGGAATTCGTTCGAACTAAAATTGTCAAAAGACTGAATTCACAAAATTCAAACGTCGTACCTTTTAACGTACTTGAAATTTCTATTCTATTCTATTCTATTCTATTCTATTCTATTCATATTTGAAACACAACGTACCAGGCTCTCAAAGTTATATTCTCATTTTTTATCTTCGTTTCTAGTGTGAATCGAGAGAAATGAAAAGCGTGTTTCTTTCCATATGGGTCACATTTTATTTCCCCTCTTCGTTGGCCTTCTGGACTAACGAGCACATTCAGCAGTTTTTCAGACCTTCAGTCTTATTTACACTGCCTTAATATCCGACCGGTCTCAAGGAGGATGTTCTTTTAAAGCCTCGCGTTGGCCAGCTACCTATGCATATCTCTGCACGAATGAAACGTTCAATGTGGGTCAGTAGTTCTAGCAGCAACTTATTCGTGTTCATTGAAACGTTTTCTTTAACTCTGTGTTGCGCTTCTTCTGTTTGGATCCTCAATTACGTCTGAAATCTTAAAAATTTTATTTCATACCCATTTGAAGTTTCGTTTTGTTTTTCTTAATTTGTTAGTTGTTTAATTTTGTGAAAATAATTATCGTTTGAAAAGACTTCGCAGTTGCTCGTTGCTCCCTGACGATGAGTACAAGAAACATGTTCAGAATAATTGTGGTTCCATCATCAATCAAATAGAAGCGACGATAGAAGCTCATGAAAATACAATAGGAAGGAAATGGTGGAATCCTAAATAAACGACAATCGCAATGCTATAGTCCCAAGTGCTTACTCATGGAAATAGAATATGGATGGTGGTCACTGGAAAGCGCCTATCCTTGGTGCATCCATATTCCAGTTGTAATTTAAATTCATCAATCGAATCTCTTGGATCCATGGTATCTGCTGTATCTTCAGAATTTCGTTAATTTCGAACATAGAAATACACTCCTGGTTCAGTTTATGAATATTAATGTTTAACACCAGGCATGTAAGTTCCTCACTCTGAAGATTTACGTATTTTATCATTATTTATTGGTCTTTTTTATTATATTTTACGTATTTCATGAACCAAATAGTCAAATAAAAAGGGAAACTACCCTTTGGTATGTGCTATCCTAAACTAGGGTACCGAACGCTGTACGCGGTTTTTCGAGAATACTCGTGCAAACTTATTGATCGTTGAGTTTCTTTGAATCGGTATTATGCATTAGCAATTACCGATTTTGACATTTTTTTATCAATATTTCACATTTTTATATACACACATAATGCGAAGTGATCAAACGAACTGGCAGCCATCTACGGCAAAATATTTAAGCTGTTAGGCAATTAGGATTCCATCTTGTTAAAAAATTGCATTACTACGTATTTTTTAACAGAATGAGAAATGTTTCAAGAAGACCCATGGCGCCATATTTGACAAAACGCCCAAGTTATTAGCCAATTAATACCATACGCTTGTCGCTGGACGACATTACGATGGTTTGAGGCGTTCGTTATATTTACGGAATTAAATGTGAACACAAACATGTGACGAATTAAAACGAGAAAATGTAGATAATGGAAGAAAAAGTACGTCCAGTAATCAATGTGAAAAAGTTTATTAACAAATGTTTTTATATTACAACAATGACAAATTAATGCCAGACTGTGTTCAGTAAATAGATTTGAATCTTGACAAGAAGTGTACACATTGATTATGTCGATTCGAACATACCAATTCCCAAAAGTAAATTCCTTCGGGAAAAATGTAACGCCAATACGGGCGAGTTTTTCGACGGGAAGGTCCTAAGGAGATAAGTCTCCGCGTTCGTTTTTACGTCCGGGTTATGCGACACATTTACGTCTTCCAAACTCATCTCCTCGGCAAGTTTAGTGAAGTCCCATAACTTAATCGTAGAGTCTAACGATCCTGCGAATACGACGATTGAACTAAAAATTGTTATTATTATTCTACTTAGGAGATATGATCTTACAAAATCAGTACTAACCTGAGACCAGTATATTTCCGTCCCTGCTGA